GAAATGAGTGTAACACTGACAGCAAGATCCAATAAAGACAAGACCAAAAAAAAAAAAAAAGCCAGCCTCAGTTAAGAGTACTGATGAGGAAAGTCTGAATAAAATATTACCAGTGGATTCCACAGTGCATTAAGAGACCAAAGTATCCTAGCCAAGTGAAGGACATTGTGGGAATGCCACAATGGGATGGGTAGTATTTGGAAATCCATAAATAAATTCTATAAATAGAATTCCCATATTACCTGGTCAGATAGGAAAAACAATATGGTGATATATGATGGAAAGCATTTTGTGAGATTGAACTTTTTTTTTTTTTTTAAGCTCTTCATAGGGGGCGCCTGGGTGGCTCAGTTAAGCCTTGGACTCTTGATTCCAGCTCAGTTCATGATCTCAGAGTCATGAGATTGAGTCCTGCTTGGGGCTCTGCGCTCAGTGGGGAGTTGGCTTAAGATTCACTCCCTCTGCCCCTCCCCTTGCTCATGTTCATGCATGCTCTCTCAAATAAATAAATCTTTAACCAAAAAAATAAAAACAACCCTCTTCATACATTTAGAATGTATGGGTACCAATTTCACATATGATCTATGGCAATGTATAGCCAGAATTTATCTTATTAAAGGGAGAGACCAAAACAAGAACATCAACTCTCATCAGTTCTATTAATTTTATTTTTTCAGAGCTATTAGCCAAGAAAATTAGCCAAGAGAGTTTAGTGGGATAAAATTGGAAAGAAGGGCATACGGTTAACACTGTTGCCTCTGCTGTGTTGTTGTTTTGTCGGTTTTCCAGTTTTACATTTCCTCTTTCCTAATAAAGAGGGTTTTTTTTTTTTTTTTTTTTGAGAGAGATCATTATTTTTAAAAGAGGATCCCAGCCATTAGAATATTTCCATTTTTTTTTAAATCCCTACACAACATAGTAGGTCATTCCCAGCTACTCTTGGCTGCCATTGTGTCCCATGGATCTTCTTTTAAAACTCAGAATTCTCCTCTCCATGTTCTAAATAAATGAGGTAGATGGGTGTGTGTGCGTGCGTGCGCGCGCATGATGCCAGTTCTGGTTTGGCTACTATCAACATAGAGAATCAGACTACTGAGCAGTTATTTTCATTGCTTTTTAATATTCATGATAGAAGGCAGGAAAAGGGTTTTTACAGCTTTGGTTTATTTAATACCATGATTGGGTTCTTCTGTTTCCCTCTACACATCACTGAGAAGTTTCAAAGAATTGCATTGAGATTAGTCAAGCTCTATATACTCTCGTTATTCAAGTTCCCTTTCAAACAGTTTCTGTGATACGTGAACACAAAATAAATTATTGGCACCAGATTCAGAATTTTTTTACAAAAATCAAACACTTATTTTCAAGATATGTGTAGGTGAAGGTAATTATAGCTTTCCTATGAGAGTTGGTTACATATAGAGGCGCCGCAGTTGGTTGAACATCCAGCTCTTGGTTTTGGCTCATGATCTCTGAGGGTCGTGAGATTGAGCCCAGCTCTGTGTTCAGCTCGGAGTCTGCTTGTGTTTCTCTCCCCCCTCCTTCTCCCCCTCCATCCCGTGCGTGCGTGCGCGCGCACACACACACACACACTCTCTCTCTCTCTCTAAAATAAATCTTTAAAAAAAACTTTAAAGAATTGGTTACATATAGAAATTTTTATTGTAACTGACTTTTTCTGATGTAAGTGTAATTACAGAAAACAAACCCTTATGGACACATTATTTAGTGGACCGTAAATGTCTCTGTTTTCAAATGTCCTTTTTTCTTAAGAGTGTATTTTAAATATTTTGGCATGCCATTTTTTTAGGAGCTTGCTTTTTAATAATTGCCTATTTTGCTATCGTATGAAGCTAATTTAACCAGAGTCTCTCCTTCTCTCAGTCTTCTTTACTTCTGTCTCCTTTCTTTCTGCAGCTCCTTACACTTTGCTCTCCTTTTGTTGTTCAGGGGAGAAAAATGAAGTATGCTTTTATTACACGGTTAAGTCTGCAAAGGGAAGTGTTTAGTTAAATGAGATTTTGCAGATTTGGCAATACATGATATTTAGTAATTAGATGCTGTGTCTTTGGTTACGTATTTGTCTGTTGGGTTCTAAAGGGTGACCACTCAGGGAAATTGGCCAAGCTATATCAGAATGAATTTTTCTGGTGTGTAAAGGCAAGTTACAGAGCATTTGATAAAAAGCTTTGCCGTGTTATTCGATGTGAAAGCCACTAGCCTCATGTGGGCATTTAAATTTGAATTAATAAAAATTAAATAAAATTAAAAATTTTAGTTCCTTAAGTAAAGTAGCCACAGTTCAAGTGCTCAGTAGGCACATGTGGCTAGTGACTAATCATGTTGGACAAGCAGGTACAGAACATTTTCAACGTTACAAAGAGTTCTGTGGGACAACCTTGGGGTGAAGTTTATATGTGTTACCTGTTTATTATATTAAAATTTAAAAATCATTTTTGTTTTTAATTTTCTTCCTGGTTATTATAAATGCTAATAAAAGTCAGTGATTTTGGAAACTATGAACAGCTCAAAATTAGAGTAATTTTTGCTTTCCTACCAACTTAATATTTAAAATTACATCCTGAAGTAAAACATGTATCAACATAGGGTTACCAGCATTTAGAAATTCTAGGAAAACACTTAAAAATTCCTTTTTTTTTTTTTTTAAGATTTTACTTATTTGAGAGAGAGAGAGAGAAAGCACAGAGGGAGAGTGAGAGGGAGAAGCTGACTCCCTACTGAGCAGAGAGCCGGACATGGGACTCGATCCTAGGACCCAGAGATCATGACCTGAGCCGAAGGCAGACGCTTAACCAAGTGAAACACCCTGGTGCCCCTAAAAATTCTTGATATAATGCAAAGTCTCAAGGTGGGCAGGGTAGGAGGATGCTCTCAAATCACTTGGGTGAAGATCTAAAGAAGATGATGTGAAAAGAGGGGCTCTTTTTTTTTTTTAAAGATACTCAGAAGAAGCAAATTAAGCAGAGAAATAATGTATTTATTTAGGGATATAATTTTAAGTTGTAATTACAATATGGTCTCGATATAAATTAATCTGGAAAAATTAAGAAATGCTGGAAAGAAAAAATACAGGGAGGGGTGGAGAGGAGCCATCCCTAATCCTGCAGTCATTGGAAATAGCCAGTATTACTTGTCACATATCCGCCCAGCCTCCTCTCTGTCCCGTTCATCCAGCAGTGAGTGAGGTCGGTGAAGGAGGCAGCCGAGATGTTAATCTGAGAGGCAGGCATAGGGAGTGAGGAAGAACTCTGACATTGAGCCAGATGGCCTGAGTTTTAAGTCTCAGCTCGACTGCTTCTATCTGTGGGACCATAGCAAGTTATTTATTTATCTCCTGTATATCTGCTTATCTATAAAATGGGATGATGGTGCCATCTGCCTCTTAATATTCTTGTGAGGGTTAAGGGATTAAAATACTAAACTCACTGAAGACTATATTACTGATAGTACCGATGACTTTTTTTTTTTTTTTTCCTGGTCACTATTATGTAGGGAATACAGACCCATGGTAAGTACCTAATAAGCACCTAATAAGTATGAGCCTCTATATTTACTGTTGCAGGGAAGCAGACATTGAAACAAGAAAGCTAGATGAGTTGTACGAGCGGCTAAGCTCAGTATTCAATGATAGTGTTTGTTGAGGTGACCTAATTTTTGATAAAGACTCAAGTAAAATTAATTTAGCTCTTAGGTTGGATGGTTTTGTTTTAAATTATACTTTTAATAGTTTCGCACATCAAATCTTGCTCCTTTTATAGCTTGTATTCTTAAAAGTTTGTTTATTACCCTACTGTGATTAATGTTTGAAGGTTCTAAGATTTTAAATAAAAATGTGGCCCTGATAATTCTGTTAATATCATAAGTGTCAAAATTCTTTCCCTGATACTTTGCATTGTGGGCCAGGTTGCCAAAAAGGTAATAGAATCCTCTCTTAGCAATAGCATCTGGCTAATCAAAATAAAATCTATCTTCCAGACTTTTTACAAGAGAGTTTGGTTAGCTGTGAGTCTAATTAAAGAGTCGATTACTTGATACCTATGAGTGTATTACTTGATACCTACTAAAAACTGGAAATTCTGAGGTGTCACTGTTTTTTATATAGAGTGGGGGGTAATTTCTTCAACTATAAATAAGAAGAGGTTCAAATAAGTTTTCAAGTATAACATTTTAAGGGCACCTGTGTAAGAGCTGAAATGGATAGAACTTAAGAGCCAACAGTTTTGCATTTGTCAAAGCGTCTTGCATTTCTTAATGACAATACTAGATTTTTTAAGAAACTCGGTTTGTCTTATAATGCACTAAAATATATTCTTGCCTCTGTGGTTTTGGGCGGAATGATGGGAAAGGAAGGACCAAGTTATTATTTGGTAATATAATTTTACTTATTTTACAGTAAGAAAATTATGTCAGCAAAACAGTTATGAGTAATGTCTTTATGAGCAATCCCTTTGCTTCTTAGAAGTTTGAATTTGGAGGGGAAAGGTTGACAATTTAGAAAAAAAAAAAAGCCTAAAAGGAACAGCATGCTGGGAAAAGCATTCCTGAAGCATGCCATGTTCCCGTGTTCTTAGTGGTGATCATATACCAACCTGTCAGGATGGGGCTGCTGGCTTATCACTTTGTTCCAATCATCATTTATGTGTTTAGCAGGAATATAAACTACAACCGATAAAGTATTGGAGCAATAAATTTTAGAAATGACAGATTTTATAAAACTAACATAATTATTCAGGGGAAAAACAAAGGTTTAGCTTTTATGTTCTATTTGATAATAACCCCTCCCATTTGACATCACATTAGAAACACTGGACCATAGATGAATTACACATGCACATTTGTCATCTGTAGGTTTATAGAAACATAGAATTTTTGTTTGAAGGTTTAGTGGATCAGTTTCTATACGCAGTGATAAAAATCTTCAAATATCTCACTGTTTGCTAGCAGGTGAACTTCTATTCATTCACTTGTGTTTCTTCCAGATTCATGAAAAACTCCACTACTATGAGAAGCAGAACCCCGTGCCCATCCTCCACGGCGCAGCGGTCTTGGCCGATGATGTAAGTGTGCCTTTCTGAGCTCCCTGGGACGCGGCTCCTTGGGACCCTGCACCTTTGTGAGCCTGGCCCGGGGCAGAGCTCATCCTGCGCCAGACAGTTGTGTGCGATCCTAGGAGTGAAAACCAGGAGAAGCTGCAAATGTTTCCCAAAGTCCTGTCATCACGGAGCTTATGCGGATACTATACTGATTTTCATTCACTTTCCTGCTCTAAAATTTTTGCCTGGACATAACCCCCTCATTCTACCTTGGTAACTGCGTACGAGAACTTTTAGCCTCTAACTCTCCGGGGAGAGAGAGAAGCTGTCAACTAGTGGAGTTCTGAGAAAGTCACAGGCAGGAGGAATGCTTTGGAGAAATAAAGACAAATGAGATAGGTCTATCGCTGACGGTGCTAAAAAATGACAGATACTAGGATAGGAACGAGGCCTTATGAAATACATAAAAAGACAGGATTGTTTTTAAAATGGGTTATAAAGCATAGTAATGATTTATGGATATCAGACCTCTCCAAATTACCTTCATAACCAAAAAATAAATTTTAGCAGCAGTTGGCATTGATGGAGTAGTTAATTTCCTGTAGCTATAATTTTATTTTCAATCTGGGGGAGGGAACTACCTTGCTGTTTCTTACTGTTAGCTTTCAGACTTGGGTGAATTGAAAGCACACCTGGATAAACTATAAAGGATGCTAAGCCAGACGAGAAATAGGTCTCGGGTGAAGGCGGGTTTTAGCGATATCCTGTAGCTTATCTGTTGCTTTTTAAATTTTTTGCTCGGTTATGATAAAACAAGCCATTGTTCAGTTTAGTAAAATATTGGGGCCATAGAATAAAAAAAAAAACAAAAAACAACTGACCATCTTCAGAAGTTGATTTTCTTATATATATGTTTTCTATTTTAATTTAGATAATAAAGCACATGTAATAAATCTCCCAAGTGGTTTGCTATTTGTTTGTTTTGTTATTTGTTTAGTCCTCAGTCTCCCTTCCAGTTTTATCCACAGAGATTAGATTATAGGGATGTCTCGGGTTATGTGTTTAATGAGGAAGCTTACTCCTCTGCCTTAATAGAACCAAACTTTTTGAAGTGAAGGTGAGCAAAGGTTTAGAGAGAATTCTAGTAAGCTGCAGTTGGCACTTGAGAAAGTCTTAAAAATCACTTTAAAAACATTTACTATTGAGGGTTTGGGGAAATATTTGTTACTCTCCAATGTGATTGAGGCCCAATCATATTATGACAATATTGCTTTTTAAAAGAATTAGAGACTGTTAGGTAAATAGGGTAAAATGTAGCATTTTCTAATTCATCAGAGCAATATATGTAAATTTAAAAAATATTGTTACAAAGTGCGTAGAGAATGCAGAGAGCCTTTTGTGACTTTTTTGAGTTAACAGTTATTTATAATGATTATTTTACCTTGAAAAACAAAAATTTTACCTTGAAGAAGTAAAATCACTTTTTGCAGTGTAACCAATGAATATATCAGTTTTATCAGGTTTTATTTTTGTGTATAATTTATATGATGTCCTTCTTTTAGAGAAAAATCTTTTTCCAGAGATCAGAACAATTATTTTTAGCTTGGGAGAAACAATAGGAGCAAAGAGAAATTTCATGCAGTGTTTTAAGAAGGGTTTTTAAATGAAAATATATATACGTATTTTGAATTCTGTACTGTGTATATCACAATTGTAATTTCTTTTTCTACTTGGTCTTGCTTTTCTTCTTAGGAAATTATATGATCCTTACTATAGCCTAAAGTGGAATAGAGTGTTGATAGGAAGGTCTCTTTTAAAGAACATGAGGCGTGTTAAAAGTTCCAACCCTTTCTTTAGCTAGAACCAGCAAATGGGAATTCTTGATCATTATAGTAGAATATAGTCAGCATTTCTGTTCCCAGAGTACTTGTCAACCTATTGTAAGTCATTCTATGATTAACCTGGTTTATACTTAACGGATTTTTTTAGTCTGTGTAGGTAAACATAATCAGAGTTTCAGACCATTTGCTCTATTAGAGACATTCTAGTTCTTTTTCCTCCAGCTCTAAATAGCAAGCTACTGTGGGTTTTTGGAAACCTTGTGAATTTCGCCACCTCATTCAGAAACTTTTTTTTTTTTTTTCATTTTTTTCTTTCTCTTTCTTTCTCTCTCTTTTTTAAAAATAGTGTCAAAGCCTGATCCAGTCCTTTTTACAAGTGGTCCTTTGTTTGCATGTAAAAGGCCGTTCCTTAAGATGAAGCGCAGGGGTTTGCCCTTATTGCAATAAATCAGAGAAGGTGATCTGGCTGATGGGATTTTTTGAGTTATACTCAGCCAAGATCCTGGGCTGGGATCTGGGCTACCAAGGGCCTGAAAAGAGGAGCAATGATTGATGGTCTGTTTTCTTTCATGCTGACTTCTTAATCACTGGAAAGTGGCAAGATAGATTCTCAGTTGTCACACATGGAGCCACACCATGCTCTTACTAAATGTTCTGTCAATGTGCTGTCCCTTGCAGTTGGCTGAAGAGCTTCAGAACAAGCCATTAAACAGTGAGACCAGAGAGCTGTTGAAACTACTGTCAAAACCCAATGTGAAGGTGAGGACGTGTAATAAATATCTTCCAGAGGGGCCACTTTCTGAGACTTCAGATGAATTTTATTTTGAGCATCAATTTTCAAGTGAATGTATTTTCAAATAGTGTGCAGTATTTTCATAACCCAAATTCCATTAAGGAAAACAAGTTGAGCTTTTGATGATAATGTGACCAAGTACAGAATACTGTAATTGGGAAGCTCAGGATTTAAGTCAGTGAATATGTCACTTCAAGTCAGTTTCTTTTTAAACGAAGGTAAGAGTACAGAATACAGAACCTACTAGTGATTTTGTTTAGGCTCATTTTACTTGGTTAGTGAAAGATATTCCAATATATTTGACAGCTATATCTATTTTTTTATAGGATCATTTCAGCTTTCCTCTTTCCCCTCCCTCTTTGTCTTCCCCATCTCCTCTCCCTCTACTGATTCATGTTTTATATATATTACTATTTTACAGAGAAGAGCAGTTTCCCAGTGTAAAATACTAGTAAAATACCAGTAGACAGATTCCAATTCTCCTTGCCATTTTTTTATTGAAGAATAGTTGACATAACAATATTGTATTAGTTTCAGATGTACAACATAGTGATCTGATATTTATATACATTACAAAATGGTCACCACAATTAGTCTAGTTACTATCTGTCGCCGTACAAAGTTGTTACAATATTATAGACTATATTTTCTTTGTGGTATATTACATTCCTGTGTCTTATTTATTTTATAACCGGAAGATTGTATCTCTTAATCTTCTTCACCTATTTTGCTCCTTCCCTTGCCATTTTTCTTCCAGGTATATCATTTATCTTTCCTCCAAAGGTGCTTGGTCAACAGAAGTCATTTAAAAAATTTCCTGTTAATTCTAAGGTCATTAATGCACTATATCCTATAACCTGTACATTTTGGACTTGATACTGCTGCAATTACATGTGAAGTATTATCCATGAGTCAGAATTACATGTAGATTATGTAATTAAAATGATCAGTTATCTTTTTTTTTTTTTTAAGATTTATTTGAGAGAGTGCAAGTGGGAGGGAGGGGCAGAGGGAGAGGGAGAATCTCAAGCAGACTCCCTGCTGAGTGTGGAGTCCAACATGGGGCTCGATCTCACAACCCTGAGATCATGACCTGAACTGAAACCAAGAGTTGGATGCTCAACTGACTGAGCCACCCAGGTGCCCCAAAATGATCAGTTATCTTATGATGATTTCTATGAAGCATATGTAGGCTGTCGGATGAATATTTCTGCCTTGGTGCAAAAATTGATTTCTGCCTTCCTTGAAAAATCTCCTTTGCTATAATAGTCTTAAATTAATGGTCAGAAAAGATAGTATTAAATAAAAGATGAGATGAAAACATATACAAGCTATAATTCCTAATCCTTAGAAGTAAAGTAAATGCTGTCAAGAATAAGTGGATTATAATTAGTAATTTAGAGTAATTGACTTATACTGGTACAGAGGAGATTGGTTGAATTTTAGTTCTAAAAGAATAGGGATCAGCTTAGAGCAAAATAGTTCCTTGAAATTAAAGACAAAGTATGTAGAAAGGTAAAAGACAAATCTCAGAGTAAGAGATTCATAGGTAGAGAAGGTTCTGAAATGTCTTCATTTGGTCTCAGAGTACACATGCAAAGTTAATATGAGCCAAAGAATGGTGAGGTTAGCTGTGAGCAACTTGTTAAACTCCTCGTTGAGAGTGCTATCTTGGTTTGAGTATTAGAAATTGAAGAAGAATGTTCCTGACAAAAAACAACAACATGATTTTGGTATTCTTTTCAAGAGTGTTTGGAATGGAATAGCTAATAAAGAAGAGATTATACTGGATGGAAACTGGTATTTGGCTCGAGAGGGAGGTTATAATTTTAGATGGTATTCAGCACCATTGGATACAACCTTATAATTAAATCCTGGAACTTTGTTACGGTGAAAATATTTTAGACGAATACTTTTTAAATTTTTTATGTTTATATAGCCATGTGATAAGAGAATAGGTGAGACGTCAGCATGAAAGATGTATTTTCAGGAAGTGATGTGTGGGAAGTGGGTAGGATTGCAGACGCAAGATGTCTCAGTTGGCAGTGACCGTTTCTAGTTAGCCAGCCCTGGGGCGGGGGAAGAATCTTTCTTCCCTTTATGACCTAACATTTAACATTGCTTTCCTTGAAATCAATTACATTAACTACCATCAATTTGAATTTCACTTTTTTTAGGTAATTACTTTAAGAAGTCATTTAGTAAACGAAAATATTTGCTTTCCTTTTTTTTTTTTTTAAAAGCAGAAGCAAGGTATAGCAGAATATGACAGGTATACATGAATTATAAGTTGAACTGACAGTTTAAATATGAAAAGCATTACTCCAGGGTGTTAATTTGAATACTGTTTTTTAACTTTTAGTGGAGAAGGGAAGTAATTATTTGCTTGTTAAAGAGGGCTGTTTCATTTAAAATATTTAGTTCACAGTAGTGAAAAGAAACCTGCACCTCCAAAGTAATAATGATTTTTGTAAACACACACAGATCTATACAGCCAAATACATAGCCACTATGAGAAGGATGATACTTGTATCCTACAGACCTGCTGATTCCTTTTTGAAAAGTTTTAAAACTTTCTCTGGTTATTTGTGTCACTAGAGTCAGATCTTCATTCGTTCTCAAGTGTCCAGTGCCTACTATGTGCCGGGCCCTGTAGATACAACTTGCAGAAGATTCGTGAAGGTTAATGAAGCTGACGGGAGAAATACAGGGTGAAAGAACACATGAAATACTGTGGAGGGAGCGCCTGGGTGGCTCAGTTGGTTAAATGTCTGAATCTTGGTTTCAGCTCAGGTCATGATCTTGGGGTGGTGGGCATGGAGCCTGCTTGGGATTCTCTCTATTCCTCTCTCTCTGCCCCTCCCCTAGTTCACGCTCTCTCTCTCTCTCAAATAAATAGATAAAATCTTAAAAAAAAAACAACACCATGGAAATCAGAGGAGGAATGCTAAATCTAAATTTGGGGAGGGAGGAGGGAGTGGGGGAAGGGTTGAAGAAAACTTGCCAGAGGAAGTGGCATATAAATTGAGCCCTGACGATTGAGTTTGAGGTAACCAAAAGAAGGAATAGGAGAGATGAGTTGAGGGGATGTGAAAATAGATTTTTTTTTAAAGATGTATTTATTTTAGGGAGAGAGAGGGTGGGGGGAGGGGCAGGAGAGAGAGAATCTCAAGCAGACTCCCACTGAGCAGTGAGCTGAATTTGGGGCTTGATCTCACAACCCTGAGATTGTGACCTGAGCCAAAATCAAGAGTCAGATGCTTAACCGACTGAGACACCCAGGCGCCTCTGAAAATAGGTATTTTAAATAAGGTGAATAGTATGTGAATCCCCTTAAAGAGAATAACTTGTCCAGTTTGAGGATGAAAATAAGTTCAGTGTGGTTGAACAGTAGCTTGTGGAAGAGGAGGGGGCAGGAGTTCAGAGCTGGACAGGGGATCTTTTGAGTAGGGGGGCCATGTACGTCTGGTTTGCCCAAGAACAGTCTGGTTTATGCCTGTAGTTCCAGCATGATTATTAATAGCCTCCTTTCCATTTCAGTTGTTTCCTTCTTTAGAGGATAAATTGTAGGGCCCCCCTTATTGTGAGCATATTACAAAGTTTGGATTTCATCCTAAGAGCAGTGGAAAGTCATTGAAAGGATTTAAATAGGCAAGTGACACAGTTGCTCTAGCATACAGATTCTTGGAATGGTGGGGTGGTGGTAGGGTGGGAGGAGTGGGTGCTGAATGGAGTAAGGCCAGCTGGAAGCCTGTGGAAGTAATTCAGGTGAAACATGATTATGGCCTTAGTGAAGGCTGTGAGGGATGGATGGAGTGGGGGATGGGTGGAACTGGACAGAGCTTCAATACATGGTATTGGCACAAGTGGTTACTTATTGGGAAAAAATAATATAACCAAATATAATGCATATTATATGTAATATACAATGAATTCCAAATAAATGAAAGATTTGAGTATAAAAAATTGAACCATAATCATGGGATGGAGAAGAAACACTCACAATCTCAGGAACAGATAAACAGACAGACACACATAGGAAAAGTAAAAGAGAAAATCCATGAATGTGGTTAGAAGGAATAATTTTATAAACAGTCTACATTTGTCTTTAATAAAGTGATAATTTATTACTTTGACTTTAATTTTACTTTTTACAAAGGGACTTGATAAAGACTTTTGAAAGTAAACAGGACATTTTTTTGATAATGCATAATTGTATTTTTAATTCAAACTATGGAGAAAGTAGAAGTTCCTATCTTCATTGCTCTGTGAAGATGAACATCATCCCATATGTTTAATGACTTTCTATTTTGTCTGTGAAGTGTGTGTTCATATACCTTTTAGGGACAACTACTGTTCATTGGCTGCATTATTTTTCCTTTTTGCATACAGAAATATTACCTATACATTTTTTCTTTTAAGATTTATTTATTTAGGGGCACCTGGGTGGCTTAGTCGGTTAGGCATCTGCCTTCGGCTTGGGTCATGGTCCCAGGGTCCTGGGATTGAGCTCCGTGTTGGGCTCGTGCCTCTTCCTCTCCCCTCCCCCTGCTTGTGCTCTCTCTCTCTCTCTCTCTCTCTCTCTCTCAAAAAAAAAAAAAATTACTTGAGGGAGAGTGAGGGGGCAGAAGGGGGAGGGAGAGAGAGAATCTCAAGCAGACTCCCTACTGATAAAGCCCAACTCGGGGCTTTATCCCACAACCCTGAGATCATGACCTGAGCTGAAATCAAGAATTGGACGCTTAACCAACTTCGCCACCCAGGCGCACCTACATTTTTTTCATTATAAATAGAATGCACTATTTTTGTTTTGTTTTGGGGATTTTTAACTTTTTTTTTTTAAAGATTATTTATTTGAGAGAGCGAGAATGAGAGAGAGCACATGAGAAGGGGGAGGGTCAGAGGGAGAAGCAGGCTCCTCGCTGAGCAGGGAGCCCGATGCGGGACTCGATCCCGGGACTCCAGG